CTACAAGTTGAGTTAAAAAAAAACTACATTTCTCTAAAAAGAATAGCGTAAATGAAATAGGAAAACAAATTTGCAAAGGCAAAATTAATGAATGAATAAATGAGCAGATAAAAATAAGATAAAATAAGAAAAGCCAGAAAGACTAAAATGGAAGCAATACTGCTGGGAAAAAAACCAAAAACCGACCCACTCCCCTCTCCAACTCACACAAATCCCGCACCGCAAAAATATCCTCCATAAAATGGACAGATGATCTTTTTTTTTCCCCACTAGTTTTTCATTCTTGTTACATCTAAGAGATTGTCCGTCCATGTTGCTATCAGGAGGGAGCTGGCTTGTTGTCCATTTGATCCTTGGGTTCCATGATTAACAGGAATTACAAATGATAGCCACACATATTGACGTAAGGACGACAAATTGCTCACTGTTGCAACAGACAGATCACGTGATGAAGAATTACAAAGAGTAGAACTCATGAAATGAATCATTCCTGGAAACTATCATCCTTTAAATACATCACAAGAATGACTTCATGGGTAAACAACGCCATCCAAAGGAATCGATGGACAAATGGACGGATATACTAAACATGAATTACGCACACACAAACACACACACACACACACACACACACACATATATATATATATATATATATATATATATATATATATATATATATATATATAAAAAAGAAGAGAAGAGAGATGCCGCAAACGTTTTTGTTGTAATATGGATTTATTTAGAAAAATATTATGCTTTGTTTTACATAATTTTACGACATAAACTTATGTAAAACAAAGCACTATTTCCTCTCTTCTGTTCTTTTTAATATACATACTTTTCTCTCTACAACATATTTCTCTTTTATATATATATATATATATATATATATATATATATATATTTTCAAATTCATGAATTATTCACACAAAAACAAATGCAAAGGTTAATGATTTAATTGGCGAGAAATCCATCGTCGCAAACAATTCAAATACGGCAGAAATTTATAGAAACAAGGATCATTTCATTCATAACGGATTCGGAGGTTTTTGTATATTATTTGAATTGTTTGCGACGATGGATTTCTCGCCAATTAAATCATTAACCTTTGCATTTGTTTTTGTGTTAATAATTCATGAATTTGTAAATTGATTGCACGTTTATCGTAATTTAAATAACTGATCCAAGTGCGATTTTTGGATAATAAGTGCGACATTACTGTAATTATTGAACAATATAGTTCATGCCACTTTGACAGAAAATTTACCAGTAAAAAATTCGTTCATCACCATATTTGTATATGAAGGCACAACTTTTAAAAATTTAAAATCAAACTCAGCGTTGCTACTGCGCACTCCAAAAACAATAACTTATTTCCAATAGCATTTTCAGATACAACAATACATATATTTTCGTTGTCCTCTTATTACTAAGAGAAAAAACAAGAACAACATCTATTCTATACCTGAAGATGTCTGTAGGAACAGACGAAAGCTTGTAGTAAAAATAAGAACTAATACGGCAGAAATTTATAGAAACAAGGATCATTTCATTCATAACGGATTCGGAGGTTTTTGTATATTATTTGAATTGTTTGCGACGATGGATTTCTCGCCAATTAAATCATTAACCTTTGCATTTGTTTTTGTGTGAATAATTCATGAATTTGTAAATTGATTGATTGCGTTTATCGTAATATATATATATATATATATATATATATATATATATATATATATATATATATGTATATATAGGCAAATATATGGATATAGATCTGACAGTATGAAGAAACATATGCGGAAAAAAACAAACAAAAATCCTAATATGCAATTATGCTGTTTTAATGTTAATATAATGTCAACGTCGGACGTTTCGGTCTAGTAGACCTTCTTCAGGACATATTCATAAAACATAATTAACATTAGACTATATTCAATTCATCATGAAAAGACGATGGACATAAGAGTAAGACTAATCAAAACAGATAATTGGAATTTTTTTTGACATAGACACTCTGATATAACACTCAAGAAGCTAGACAGAAACGTCCGACGTTGACATTATATTAACATTAAAACACCATAATTGCATATTAGGATTTTTGTTTGTTTTTCCGTATATTTTTTTCTTATATATATATATATATATATATATATATATATATATATATATATATATTATTTACATTATTCTGACTATTGTCTTCATCTTTGTCGCCATATTTATTACAACGTTTCGGCCGTTGTACTCTTTTTCTTCTTCAGGTGGTTGGAATGTCGAACTGAACCCTTTATTTCGCTCACTGGGTTAGACTGTTCTAGTTTCACGTGCCATGTCTAATTGATGTCAGTTATCAGTTATTTCCTGTTAATTCCCCTCTTCAAATTCTCCACTGCCTTAACCGGGTATTGAACTCACACTCTTTGGGTCCTGTCACTAGATCTAACCAACGCCTTTATCCACTGCGACATCAGTGACAGGACTGTGTGTACACTGTACACATATATTTGTATGTAGTTCTTATTTTCTTTCTCCTAATGTACAATTAGGTGTATATGTGTCTTTGGAATTTTCCTTTTTGTTTATATATTAGTGTTCTTTTTATACGTATATATCTATTTTAATGTCCTTTCTTTACCTATTGGTTATTTCTCTGTTCTATTAGACCATTTTTTATCTACGTATATCGGCCCGTATAAGTTATATTTTAATAAATGTTTAGAATTCATTTAATAACATCTTCAATCTTGAATATTTCTTGAGTATTATATCAGAGTTTCTATATCAATGTGTGTGGTTATATGTACGTATCTTTTTTGGTTTCTGTGTATAGTAAATTGCATGCACATTTCATTGTGTATGTGTGTGGGTTAATTTTATTGTTTTTGTAAAAGGTCGTGCAAATATCTCCTATCTCGTTTCTTTTTGTGTGTGTGTATATATCTAAATATGTCTGCGTGCTTATGTATTATAATCTGATTGTGTTTGTATTGTCTTTCGCAAGATGTCATAATTCCCAAGTATACACTTGTATCTCATTAAGTTAAGGGCAGTCGATTTTAACGTTTATTCAAAGTAATTTCAACAGAAACATACTGAATAGAATAACATATGTATGTTTTATTTTTTACTCAATAATTTTAAAATTTTAAACTTAATATAAATTAAATTTACATTTTTGAAATGGGTAGTTTTTAATTTTAATTCCAAATTTCATCGTAAAATTTAATACTTATTAGTTAGAATAAATTCTATTTTAGTATAAAACTAAATTTAATGCCTTTAATAGTTATTAGAAACTTACTTTGTTGTCAAGATTTTTGAATTCTCGTATACTTGTATTTTCATTGGTAATTTCAGCTCATATAACAGCGTTTCCCCTTGCGATGGGTGGTTAGTTGATTTGAAGCTTTTAAAACACTTGATTCTACAATCTACATTTAACATCATCACTTGATAAGGCACCAGAGGCGTTGAAACAAAATGGCTATTTTTGTAGTGATTTTATAACATATTTATGTTATAATTTTTAAATAAATAATTATATTCGCTCTACTCTGTATTGGACACTCTTTTAAGAATAGTAATTGTTGGTTATTGTAATTTATTCCGTATGCACCAATCATATACCTATATATATATATATATATATATATATATATATATATATAATATGTATTTAAGTATCAATCCTTCTTTCATGTAGGTTTCATTGAATATGACAGACAAGCTGCTTTGATTTAGTTTTTTAAATTCGTAACATACTTGTTGATAACACAAATGTAATAGCATCGTCTACATGTAAAAAAAAAAGGCTAAAAATAACACTTACTAATATCAACTATGAACATGGATAAATATCTTGACCGTGTTTTGAAAATGAAACATTATATAAATACATACATACTACAATCTATTTCTTGTTAACAGTTAATTTATTTAAACCTTGAAAATGGCGAAATGTATTGCCGAAAGCGCTCGTAAAGAAAGAACATTTGGACAGTTTTTATACAATTTATCCTACGAAAAGAAAAAAATATATGACGAGAAATTGTATAAAAAACTAAATCAATGCATCTTGTCTGTCATATTCAATGATGAAACTTGCATATATATATATATATATATATATATATATATATATATATATATATACAAACACACACACACACACACACACATATATATATATATATATATATATGTGTGTGTGTGTGTGTGTGTGTGTGTGTGTGTAAAAAAAAAGAAAGAACAGCAAGATATATAATCCGGTGTTCTTATAGATATTTTATTTTTACAAAATAGTGCTCAATGTAAATTTACAGAGCATTAATATTATAAATTAATTGATTTAAAATATTAAATCAATTAATTTATAATATATATATATATATATATATATATATATAGCGGGTGTAACAGTAAAATTGTCCAGATCGTGTAACAGCATGGGATAATTGTCCATCCCACAAAATTTTTAATATCTAAACAACCACTAAACTAACTGATTTTCTTTTTGCCAAGTTTTATGACATGACGTTTTGCCATCTTGACATCATTTGTTGTAAAAATCACTGAAAATCACTTTTAGTTATTCAGCTAGAAACAGAACAGGTTAAAATAGTTTTGCGTCAGCAACACTGTCTTCCCAACTGAGCAATGGTGAGAGGGGAAAAGACCGTTCAGGCCTTCAGTAATAGTACCAACATTCATACTCTGTCTTCCACCTTCAACGTCCATTGAAGAACCATCAAGAGAACGGTGAATAAGTTTAAAAAGAGGGAACAGTAGAGAGAAAAACAGGATCAGGAGGTCACAACAGGAAGAAGGATGACCATTTTAAATTAGAGCTAAAGATATCAATTAGAAAAGATCCAACTCAATTAATAAGATGCTTGGCCCGTGAGAGAGCAGTTTCAGCTATGACAGTCCAAAAAGCAGTGAAAAAATCCTTGGAAATGGAATCGTACGTGAAATACAGAAGGTTAGAGAGA